GCCGGTGGCCGGGCAGCTTTCCCACTCACTGAGCCTTTCTCGCCCACTCCAGAGAAGCAACGGAGCAAGAAGTCTGGGAGCTCGCACCTGCGGGCGGCACAGAGGCAGGGCCGGACGGTGCTGCACCGGCTCAGCAGCCAGTTTGCCCGGAGGGACCACGGCGAGATGAAAATCAACCGTGTAAGGGCCCGAGGGAGCCCCTGGTTTTGCCCGATGCCTCCCAGGCAGGGGCTCTGTGTGCAATTCCCTGCCCTCCTGCGGGCACCAAAACGCCCTGGATCCCAGGCAGCTGCACTGCGGTCCTCAGTGCGGATGCAGCTTGTTGGCAACAGGAGAGCGGCCACGGAGCGCACGGAGCTTCCCATGGGCAGTGCCAACCTTTGGGCAGCTCTTCCAGGCCTGCTTCTCTTATCGCACTTTAGCTGTCAAGAAAAACCTGGCTGCTCGGTCTCAAAGCCAGCGCGTGCCCTGGGGAGGGCGGTTACCAGGCTCCGGCACCGCGCTGTGCCGGCAGCGGGGTTTCCAGCAGGAACAGGCACGTACCTCGTACCTGCGCCAGTCTGCTCATGTGGATGCGGTGCCCCCGGGCAGGGGGAAACCTGGGCAGCAACAGGCGCCACCTGCAAATGCTGCACCAGGGAGGGGGTCCGTGACCAGCTGGGCTGGGTCCAGACCTGGCAAAACATCTCGGCATGCCAGTTCTGAATTGTGGAGGCTGTAGCGTGCTGGGCTGCGGGAAGGGGCCAGGCTCTCCCCTCACCCAGGCTGTGCATTAGCTGCTCCCCCGCAGAGCTGCCTGCTTTGCAAAGAGGGTGGCAGCAGACTCTGCCGGGGCTGCCCGCAGCGTGAGAGTTTGCACATTGGAGCATTCTGGGCAGCAGCCAGTGGATTATCAGTAATAGTATTAGCATAACACTAATTTATTTGCCATAATGGGGTATACTGCGCCTGCCTCTGTGGGTGACCTTAGCGCAGGCCATGTTGCATGTGCCCCCTTGGAAATGCGAGTCCATCACCCTGGCATCTGGGCAGGCATCAGAGGAACCTGCAAGCCAGTGGGGGTCTCATGCGGACAGGGGTGTACATGGGCCTCTGTCCCCTCTCGTGTGGGGACAGTCCTCGTTCATGGGTGCCATCCTACCGTTTCCTCCAGAACATGTTTGAGAACAAGCCATCCATCCCTGAGTACAAAGTGGCCTCGGTGCAGAAGTCCCGCTTCATCCTGCTCCACTACAGCGTCTTCAAGGCCCTCTGGGACTGGCTGATCCTGCTGGCCACCTTCTATGTGGCTGTCACCGTCCCCTACAACGTCTGCTTCACGGGCACGGAGGACAGCCCATCGGCCACCCGCAGCACCATCGTCAGCGACATCGCTGTGGAGATGCTCTTTATCCTGGGTAGGTCGGAGTCGGGGCCCAGGAGTGCCCTTCCTGGGTGAGAGGACGAGCCCGGGCAGGGGAGGGCTGCAGCCCGAGGAGAGGCCCTGAGGATGGAGGAACGGGGAGCGGACATTGCTTGCTGCCGGTATCAGCTGGTGCTGGCTTTATTCCACTGCCACCCCACCCCCCACAG